AATTTCTGCTGCTTTGACCAACCTGTTTTTACCATTTTAAAAGAGATGGAATATCCCCCTGTTACTTGGCTTAAATAAATCCCTGTTTTCTATTACACTTTGCCCATACATTATGCAGCATTTATCACTATGTTCTTCCTCTGAACTAGCACAGGAGCTCTCAGATTGTAGATGGAAGGAATAATAGGAATAATCAGGAGCTCATTTGAGTGAGCTTGGCCTAATTTTGCCATTCCACCCGAAGGCAAAGGCCAGAAAAACTGAGATTGAAAACCTGGTTTTCCTATGACACAAGGTGAGACCTCATCAAGGAAAACTCCAGCTTCTTTTTCAGGGAAAGAATTAGTCTACGGGAAGCATTTACAGGTTAAAAATGTAAAAGCACCCACCAAACATCACAGCTTTTCAATGTGTGTGTTTGTGATAGGAGCTTTTTTTTATCTTCACCTTCTTCACCCTTCAAAACCATAGAATCTGATAGTGGTTTGTGCTGGAAGGGACCTTAAAGCTCCTCCAGCTCCAACCCCTGCCACGGGCAGGGACACCTTCCACTAGAGCAGGTTGCTCCAAGCCCCTGTGTCCAACCTGCCCTTGAACACTGCCAGGGATGGGGCAGCCACAGCTTCTCTGGGCACCCTGTGCCAGCGCCTCAGCACCCTCACAGGGAAGAACTGTTTCCTCTAACAAGGCAACTTGGTTTGGTGGTGGGACGGAGGAACAACTCCAGATTTATTTGTTGACCAGGAACCCAATTCATTCCCTTTTGAGTCAAAGACCTGCACTTACCTGACACCAGATAACCCCTGATGTAACTCATCTCCTTTTGAAAGCGCCTGCACAGCTGTTTGATGTTCTCAAAAGTGCTGAGTTTGCACATAACGTCAAGCAAGGCAAACAAGCTCCTACTGGCTGCATCCCAAATGGTTAAAGGACCAGCCTGGCCTACCCCATCAAAAGGGGAGGCTGCAAACAAAACCAGCCCTTAAGAGGAGCTCCAGGGAAGAGCCAGTTTTGGAGATGACTGTTATTTGGAGGTCATTTAGGCTGTGCTTAGGGCCGCTCAGCAAGGATCTGACCCAGAATTCCCTTTCTTCTTCCTTTCAGACCATTTTAGTGGCCTGAAGTTTGGTTAACCTAAAACCAGGATCAAAATGGTTAAAGAGAGGAGTACTCTGTGTGCTCAGAGTCAAATTGGACGTGAAGCGTAGGATGGATGAGCATCTCCTCCCAGAACACCTCCTGGTCAGGTGGACCCCGGCTCACTGCAATGACAGAGAATTCGGGTTTGTCTCAGAGGAAAACCTCTGCCAGCATCAAATTAAGGTCATGGGATGGAGCAGAACAACGGCCTTGTTTCAGCCTGGCAAAGGACTGAGGAATGAGGAGCGCGGGTACCGCAGTCACGTTTGTGCTGCACGGTGCAGGACGCGGTGCTCTGGTGGTACTGGTACCTTTGGACAGTCTCCCATGTCAGAACTGGGGAACATTGGTTCACTTGTTCTCTTTCTCCTGCTCCTCTGGGCTGTTGTGTGTGAGCTTCTCATGTGCTGCATGAGGTCTTTGGGAAGGGGAGATTGAGGTGGCTGAGGGGGAGCAGTGGGAATCATGGAGGGAAGGCTCTGAGCAAGGAGAAGGGCTGTGGTGAGACAACCACTGCAGAAGGGACTGTAGGAGGTGCTGCTGAAGCTGAAGCTAAGTGGGCAGCACAAATAATGCGAGCATCTCTCATCTGCTCCAGCACAAAGTCAGCTCCAGGGTGGAGTGAGGATATCCCAAGGGAGCATAGCAGCTCCTGAGAACACCTTTCACTGGGTGATGACCACCCAGCACAGAGACAGGATACCCCCACTGAAAATCATCCCATACTGCAATGATTTGGGCCATTAGAAGCTGTGGCTGCCCCATCCCTGGCAGTGTTCAAGGCCAGGTTGGACACAGGGGCTTGGAGCAACCTGCTCTAGTGGAAGGTGTCCCTGCCTGTGGCAGGGGTTTGGAACTGGAGGAGCTTTAAGGTCCCTTCCAACACAAACCATTCTATGATCAGCACAAGCAGTCCCCTGTTTCAGCTCTGGTCGCTTTGTCCCCATAACAATCAGCTGTAGGACTCCAGGCTGCATCTCCCATCAACTGCCCCACAGGGGGACCCACATTGGGTCCCTGCCATCGAAGATCCTGCTCCATGACTCTCCTCACCTTGGCTACAAGGATGGCTACAAGGGAGCCATCCACAGCCTGAAGTTTCCACCCAGATGGAAGTAGCCACTCTGGGGTCTCTGTGGGCTTCCTGCTTCCAAGCAAGATGAGAGTAAACTGCAATCTGCAGCAGAGCTACAGCTCTTGGTCGTGACACTGAGGAGCAACGACCAGCTGCAGCTCTTAACACATCCCACTTCCATTGTCTTGTGCTTCCTCCATGCACACAGCTAAACCTCACACCCATCCCTTCCATCTGCCTGACTTACACACCACCCTCTACTACTGAGAGCACTTCCTTGCTGCCACTTCCATTAGTGCATTAAGGACCAGGAGTAACCGGTTCAGGGCTTCCTCCTCCAAGAGCCATTCTCCATCCTTGAGCTGACCTCACCAACCCTTCAGCATCCTCCCACAGAGCCCTGTCAGCAGAATGAGTGCCCAAAGCTCCCTAGGGTGCAGCTAACCAAGGACAAACCTGAGGCCAAAATACCACATGAGCAGGTTTGGATGTGTGGAAGGTGTCCCTGCCCATGGCAGGGGTTGGAACTGGATGATCTTTAGGTCCCTTCCAACACAGACCACTCTGTGATTCTGTTTTAAATCTTTCATGGTTTATTTGGCAGCCTGATGATTGGGAGTGATGTTCTGCAAGCTGCTGGCCACAAGAGGTGGCAACAGATGAGTGCTGCTGTGATCCAAACGCCGTGGTACC